CCCCAAAACCCCAAAACCCCAAAACCCCAAAACCCCTTCAGTTGCACCCATAATTGAAATTTCTTCTAATCTGAGCTTAAAGCCAGATCTGAGAGTCTACAACAAGGGACAAATTCCAGATTCTTAAAAGCTTCCTAACTGAATAGGATATCTTTCAAGAGACTTGGATTTGAATGATTGCCTACTTGAGAAGCATTAAAACTTTTCAAACTGAGTTCAGCATAATTAACACCTTAGTTGATCAGTTTTAGAGTGAACTTTATTAATTATGATTCAAGACTCTGAATCAACCGTGATTTCTAACAGTAAATTCATAAGTTTTTGAATTTCCCGTTCTTGATAACAGCGAAGAGGGACAGTTAAGTACCCCTAGAAGAAACTGTCAAAAATGTTGATTATCTGGTGAATTAGTGTTTAGCGTTGGTTTTTATTCACACAGGTTAACAATTAGGTAACATTTGGTCATAAAACTCACATTTTTATATAAAGAACAAGAGAGTCTCCTTCCTACTAGCAAGAGAGCTTCCATGTCAATAAGGTTTAGCTTTTAAACTAGAGGATAATACTATCCATAGCTGCTGCATGCTAGTTTCCCAAAAAGATGTAGAATCAATATTCATTTTAAGCAATAATTGAATGAACTTACACTTGGAGAACTGAAATTGGGTTTGCCGGAAAATTTTCATCCCCTTGTATTAAGGTTTTTCAAAATCATTCGCCCAATAGAATGAACAGTTTCAATATTTTGGCATTGGGTTTCGACATGAAGTTTAGTTCAGGCAATTTGGGAACATGTTGAGAAGTTTGAAATTTTCGTTGATATACTTCCAAATGAAACAACTATGTCTCAATAACATTAACGTTAAGCTCTTCCATATAGAGGATACCATCCTTTATTTAGTCTGTCCTTTGAAGGCCCTGATCTCTTTAGAACTCCTGATCATAATTTTCTAAAAGTACTGATAAGCTGAATGAATGATTTAGTTCTTCTTGTACCTATGTTTTGAGATCTGTTGATGATTAAAATTTTCGATAAAATTTTCAACAGAAATTCAGGATCTTCTCTAAAGATACCTGGCGGGCACTTTAATGCTCCAGCTTAGTGATCCATGAAGTTCTATACATATCCCAATACCTCCTGATTAACAACATTTTTAATAAGATGATATTATGAGATAAAAATTATTTTAAGATTGTGCATTTGAAGAAGACTTTTTGTACAAGATTTTTCGTCTTCACACTTCACAATACTGATCCTTAGCAAGGAGTTTGAATTTAGTAATCCGAGAAGATGCTCTTCTTTGCACTATCCTCTTCAAACACTGCAAGGGGATCGAATCCGAGAAGATTGGCATCTAATCCTTCAAAGGGGCTTGAGAGGAGCTTACATGGCTCCGAGGTCTCCCTTTCAAACTTCTTAAACACTAATCCTTCTGGGAAGAGATCAATCTTTGCTTTCTTTGTCTTTATAACCTGTTTTGGACTGGTTACTTTTCAGTTATTGTTCACAATTTTCATCTTAATCTAGTTCTTAATTAAAATTTATTGAATTCGATATTTATACTCCAGCTGGGGTTTTGGGGTTTTGGGGTTTTGGGGTTTTGGGGTTTTGGGGTTTTGGGGTTTTGGGG